GTGCGAAATCTTCTGGATGCGGTGGATTCCGTTGCCATCCACCCCCCGTGCCACAAGGTCGCACTCGACAACGTACGGTTTCGGATCTTGATCTTGTTCAGCTTGCGCACCTGTGGTGGAACAAGCAGAATGAGATATTCTGAAAGAGCACTGCAACTATTCCGAGCCCTGCGGGAATACATCCAAGTCGCAGGTTTAGTATATTTGTGCGACGGCTTAGACATTCCGCACCTCGGTAGAGAATGTCGTAGCGAGTGTGCGAGACATCGGGCACCAAACCAATGATCTCAACACCCTCCGCTCTGGTGGCCAAAACGCGATTATGCACCTGCTTCCTTTTTCCTATGATGAATAGCACCTTGTAGGTAGCTTTGCTGTATGCATCGAGATTGTCGAAGCGTTGGCGATGCTCATTGACGGCTGGTTGCCCACGATCTGCCATGATGCCTTCCATACTGAACGTCGCACCACCACCATCGCCATCAAAGTTGACAAAGACATCCACTTTGCCATGTTTCGGGCTTTGATACGAAGCGGCACGGTACCCAAGCTCTTGCAAAGCATTTTTAATGGCTATGTTGTATTGATCTTCAAACGGTAAGTCCGATGCAGACAGGGCTCCTAGTGCCGGGCTGATCGGGGCGAATCCCACAACCCGTGCAAAGGTGAGGTATGGAATCGCCCGAAGCAGCAGGTCTAAGCAGCTCACTGGAATGTACGGATCGACGCGCACCGCCAGGGAACGAAACCGCTCTAACTGACACCGGTAGTAGGAGGCCATGATAGGGTTTGACACAGCATACTGCGTGTCTGGCGCAGTCCAGTCCATTTCTGTGAACTCTTCGTTGCCAGGCATCTGCTGGGCAGGGACAACGAAGCCATGAATTGTCATCTCCCTGCGCTCATCGAGAGAGCTAAGCGCTGAGGGTCCCTCGCAAAGAATCTTGACAAAGTTCATTGGCACCTTCTCCAGTTCGCTGAATCTTCCGTTCACTTTCACGGCTCGAGATTTAACAAGTTCTTCCCAAATTGATCCTCGCTTGAACCAGTCATTTCGGTCCATGCTGTTGCGCACTGCGGTCACCGTCTGGCTGTAATTCCACTTCGCTTCTTGTTGCTTAGTGACCCAGACCATTGCTCGCATGAAGATCGATCTGTGACCCGCGCAGAATTTCATGAAGAAGGCAACACTCTCGGCATTCAGGCACACTCCCGCCTCTTCTAACTGGCTGATGAAATCATCACCAATTGGAAGGATGGGGGGAATCCAAAAGAACTTTCTCGTGATCTCAGCAGGGGTGGTGCCACCACTTGTGCTTCCTTCACTAGAGGCGGAGAATAAAACCACCTTGGGGTGGTTTACGTTCTTGAAGAGCAATTCACGGATCTCGTCGAAGGGAAAAAGTGTATGTGCTTCATCGAGGACCAATGTGAGCTCTGCCTCAGCCAAGTTTTTCAAAGCTTGCTCAAGCCGTGTGGGGCCCCGCGCCACAGTCTGACCGGTCGCATTTTCGATAGCAGCAATGATTCCCGACCTCCAAGATTCCTCGCTCGACTCTGCGAAGGGAACACTGACAAACGTCTGGGGATACTGCCGCGCCAAATCTAGCTGCAAGGTGCTCTTGCCAACACCCACTCCTCCACGGATGAACAATACGTCTTCACCGTGAAATAAATCAGAGAGCTTGCTGTCATAGTTGTCTAAAGGGATGAACACATGTGCATCACGATTCGCCGGACGTGTCGCGGAAGGCAGAACCCGCTTTACTCCACCAGCCGTGTTACCACCTTCTGCCCATCGGGTCTGCCAAGATGACCTCGTAATCAAAGGTGCACGTGGCACGAACACCTGCAGATTGCAATCAATGCACCAACCCACCACAAGCAACAGCAACTTGCGTGACTTGGTGCTTCCTGACACCATGGCCATCAACAAGACCTTCCTAATCTCAGTGGTCGACGGGAATAGAAGACTTTCTGAGGTTTGGTGGAATAGCTTTGTTCTGAATCGTGGCAGGGCCGTTAGTTTGACCAGCTGACGTTGATCCACAAGCCACCAAGGGAGTCTCAAAACGCCACTTCTACCAGCAAAAAGTCTGATTGATGCATCCTGCGAACAAGTTCCAGCACATGACAGTTCTGTTTCTAGCCAAACACATCTCCATACTTAGGTTCACTCAGCAACTGAAAAAAGGACTCACAGAAATCTTGGAAGTGACATCTATCAGATGTATCTCACAACAAGATAGAAGAGCTATTGCACTTCTGTTTCAAAGTCTGAAATCAAAACCAACCCACTTGATTCGCAGGCCCGTCGATCCGATCGTAGTAGCCTTGTGCTCATGCTACTTTGACTTCATGAAATGTTTGAGGTGGTGAACCTCTCTCTTACGTGACAGCCTCCAGCTCCCGCCACAACCCTGTTGAGCGAATCGCGATTCTAATTTTCGGGAGTGACCTCGGAGCTCGATTCGACTCAAAACTGCAACATAGTGCAGTTCTGGGTCCGAACACAGCACTGCTCTGGGCGGATTCTAGGCCCGAAATCTGAGAGGGAGGAACTCGAACAGAGTGC